TGTCTCAAAAAAAAAAAAAAAAAAAAAAAAAAAAAGGAATCAATTTACAAAGAGGAATTCAGTAAAGTAATTTTTCATGATTCATCTTTTTCTTAAAAAAAAAAAGTAAGAAGAAACTAGGAGTAAGAGTAAATACAGGTGGCTTCCAAGCATTATGAAACACCATCATTTATTAAAGAAAAGATGATGGGCCGAAAGCCCTAGCTTTGTGCGGCAAAGTATATCCTGCTTTCATATCAGCAGGACCTATCAGAATGAAGACTACTCATTTTTTTTTAGATGACCTTCAATTTTTACATTCAGCATATTCTCACCAATTATTTCCTGAGCCAGAAATATCAGTGATGAGCTGCTTGCTATCAAATACGTCTCTCAATGGTCCTTGTAGAATTTCATTCACTACCCCTTCTTCCATATCAATCAAGACAGCCTGAGAAAGAGAAATAAAATGTAATTACTATATTTTATTTTATTCACTCTGTAAATGAAATTATGAGCTAAAAGTTACATTGTTTTTAACAGTTTAAGCTTAATCAAAATATTTTTGTAGAATCTGTTGTAAGAGTTAAAAAATAATTTCTCCCTGCTTGAAAGGTAGAATCCAATTAAAAGGCAAATTTTAAACTCTTTTATCCTATTCCAAAATGCCAAGTGGGGGGACAAAAGGAAACAAGACCCTCCACTGAATTTTTAACAAAGTCTCAGAAATATCGAAGGTAATCTTAACCAGAAAAGGTTCTTAATAAATGTAGGGTGCATTAATGCATTTGCTCACTAGGACCATGCTGTTCTTTATGAATCAAAGTCAAAAACTGTCCAGTTCAAATGAGTAAACTTACTATTATATGCAAAGAAGAGACACTGGATAGATGTCAAAGATGACAACATGGCCCCTCTTCCTACGTAATTCACAATCTAATTCATTACCACAAACTTTACTGACATTAGAAAAAACCTACTCTACTAAGAAGAAAATGAGAATATAAAACAAAATTAATTATACAAAGAAAGAAAGAGAAAAAAAGATGAAGGAAATAGAGCAAAACGTAAGTAGGGATAGCTTGGCAGTAGTATTATATGCTCCCTCCTCCCACTTCTTTGTACTTTACTTTCCATATATTCTACAGTGAGAAAGAAGAATGAAAAAGTAAAATAAGTAGAGTTAAATAAAAAAGCAAGGCTGAAAAAAATTCTGAAATAACCTTAGGGTACACTATAATTTGATTTGTTAACTCTTTGATTCAGCATCGCAGAGAAGTGCTTGGTTTATGGGTTTTAGATTTGTGCCCATATAACATTAAGCAGTTACTACATGTCACTGTTCTAGATGCTTTATATGTATCCTACTATTTAATCCTTACAACTCTATGCATAGCTACTATCATCCCTATTTTACATATGAGGAAACTGAGGCCTAGAAAAGTTAAATAACTTGGCTATGATTATCCAGCTAGTAAGTGGTAGGGCTGAGATTCAAACCCAGTTAGCCTAGCGGCAGATTGTTCACTCTTAACCACCAACCTCTATGCCCTATCTAAGTGAAGGAAGACAGTCAAGTTTATTTATAGAGTAGTGACTACAATAGTTATAATTTATGCACATTTAAATTCTGTGAATTTAATTATATCTGTAATTAACTATGCTACTTACTATAAGATATGCAACTAAAATATAGCAGTATATTATAAACACTATAAAACTGTTTTACAAATATGCTCCTTTATATACAGCAATCATTATATATTAATATATACTTCACATACACAGGACTGTATAGGGTTATATATTGGCAATTTTAGGGATTTTCAAGGATACTTCTGACAACATGCAATTTTTACCTTAAATGCTCACTTTAACACCTAACTAACCAAAGAAAGACTTCACTATATGGGAAAACTATAGTACTACAAGTTGTGTAAGATTATATAAGAAAAAAATTAGCTTATAACTGGCCTTGTTCCAAGACAGATTTATTGAAATGACTTGTGGAAGATTAAAAGTACATAAATCATACCCTCAACTAACTTACAATCTGGCAAGGGAAACAGTATGCAGAATAAAAACTGATATTCAGGTACCTCCTGAAGTGAGTTTTGAAAGCAACATCACTGTCCTACTCACTTTGCATTAATCCCTGACATAACATATAACTCTTCCAGTCCTTCCTTGGTCACATCAGGCCCCTGTTTTTCCTTTGGAAATTAAGCAAACTTTGGGAGAGTACTGTGGGTTCCTCACTGAGGCATCCAAGGTCACAACTGTACCAGATTTGATGTTTATATTTCCTTCCACAGAACTACCTGGTGATAACCTTCTGGCTTTTCCCTAATCATAATATAGGATTTACAAAATTCTGAGCATTTGCCTATTAACGTAAGAAACTAAACATGGTAGAGGGACTCAAGGACCAAATTATCTTATAAAGCTTGGATTCTTTAGTTCCTAAGGAGAAAATGGAAGAGTACCTTCTTGGACAAAAAGTCAATGGCTACAGAAATATACCGATTTCTTCTTTCTTAGTAGTGTTTCCTCCAACTCTCACTCTGCTTACTGAAATGGTGATAGGAAAGAGCTCAAATTGAGAGTAGTGTAGGAAATGTCAAGTCTCTTTGTCTTAAGATTTGGATCGGGACGATAGGTCTATGTCATGGAGTATACTGTGTTAATCAATTATCCTATTGGCCTACAAGCACATGGTCTCTGCCCTAAATTTTGTTTTCCAAGGACATCAGAGATCACAGATACAAGGAGATACTTCCCAGGTGCCAGCCACAACACTATTGCTCTCCAATTTTTCAGTCACTATACCAGTTCTGATCCTTAGCATCTCAATTCCTTCCACAGCATTTAAACTACTTTTCTTGTAATAGTCAAAGATTACCAATCGATCAATAATCTAAAGAAGTAGTTTGTTGTAGAGAAACAATCACAGAAGAGAAATGCTGGAATGAGATTAAGACTTTAACTCTGAGCTATCAACTTAAAGCATTTTGTTCAGGAGAACGTACATGGTTATGATATTTATTCACTAAAATGTGGCTGGGTCCATGCTTTGTATTGGTAGTAACCCTGATGTAAGTAAATCTTCCATTACCTTTAAATGAAAAATTAAACTGTATTAGTATGTATTTCAGGTCCTTAGAGTTAAGATGGCTTCTTTTGTTACCATTTATCTAGACATCTATTTCCCCTGAAAACATTTTTAAAAATGCTAAAGATATAGTGTTTTTACCTTAAGTATGAAAATTTCCCCCTAATGTTTTAGGTGGACACACATATCTGCTTAGTTATATTTATATTATTTGTGGCTTAGTAAATATTTTTAAATTTGAGAAGTTAAAATTTGTCATGATAGTTATAGAGTATAGTTATTTTAAAAACTCATGTAATGTAAGAATCCAAGCATATATATCTTACTCGTGCTTTTAAAGAGCATATTTTTCCCTTGGAAATACTGCCACTATCACCAGCCACTCTGAAAGATAAAAAATGAGAAAAGGTCATAAGATCTTCCATTGCTTATACTGTTATCAGGTAACAAAGTTAACTTCCATTTATATAATAAGACTGCTTATGGGCAAGGTGAGGCAGACACAACAGTCATCCCTAAACTCCTCCTTTCTTGCTTACTTTCTGTTAGGCTAAAAAAGTGAGGCACTTATTTTCCTGTCTTTCTTTATAGTTAGGGCTGGCTATGTAATCCAGTTCTACCCAATGAGATAAAGGGGAAGTTTTCTGGGAAGCTTTTCTGATAAAAAGGACCTGACGTAGTTGGTGCCAACCTCCTTCCTTTTTCCTGCCTCAAATATGAATTGGGACGTGATTCCCGGAAAAGAGACTACCATTTTATAGTCATGAAGTAAAAACACGAGGACGAAAAGCCTACATGCTAAGGAGAGCAGAACAATATATAGTATCTAGGTCTTTGAGGCATTTCTCCAAACCTAGAACATCTAATTTCCAGATTTCTTAGTCTGTAAGATAAATGGACACCTTTATTACTTATGTCACCATTAATGAGGTTTCCTGTTGCAGCCAAACACACATCAACTGATATACCAGTTATATATCATTGAACATCTAATGCTGTTTCTAAAATTTCATGTTACCAAAGTACTGAAATGTACAACCAAACACACTATCTGCATTAATAAAGACAATTCACAAGATGCCAATATATGAAGGGAAGCCTAGTTAGACACAGATGATGTGACAGATCAGGGGTTAGTAAACTATAGTCCTTAGGCCAAATCCAACTAGCCACCTGTTTTCCTAAATAAAATTTTATTCAAATAACAGCTTTACCCATTCATTTACATACTATCTATGCCTGCATTCATGTTATAAGGGCAGAGTCAACTGGCTGTGAAACAGACCTTATGGTTTGCAAAACCTAAATATTTACTATCTGGTCCTTCATAGAAAAAGGTTGCCAACTCCTGCTATAGGCAAATACCTATCATGCTATTAAAAATGTATAATAGTTTGATAAGGTGTACACAGAGATGTGGTCTCATTTTTGAAAAAGATTTTTCATACTAACTTGTGGAACAGATGCGACATGTGTTGATAGTACACAGAAAGAAGAGCAAGATGCCACACCCCTTCTTCCCAAACTTAAAAAGAAAATAAGGATGCTCTCAGGTTAAAGTATAAAACAGAGTAGATGAGAGTGTAGTCATGTTAAGTCACTTTCTTAAGAAAGAAAAGCTCCCAGGCTGAGTCCCAACTATGTAATACTCAAAGAAAGGTTGGCTATCAAAAAAGGAAGAGGCGGGAGTAAGAACCTAGGAACGGTAGTACCTGAAAGGAAGTATTACAAAGGCGAATTTGGGTCTTCTAATAGTATATAGAGGTGAGGATATTTTGGGCCACAAATAAGAGGGAATCTAGTCTATATGATAGATAGGTACATATAATAAAGATATATGACACCAGTCATTAAGGCAATAAACCTAACTTTCCTTGGTCTGATTCTATGGTCACCAAGCAGCCTTTCGATTATTATGGAGCTTTTCAGGTAGATTTCCTACAAAAGATAATGTGTCTATGATGGAAAATGAGAATCTGGTCTTTGGTTAACATGATCGTACTGGACAGCACTAGACCCATTTGCAAGGTGCCAATAAAATTTCTGAGTTTGCAAGCTTGAGCACTAGATTCTGGAACTCACTGACAAAGCAGGCACCAATTAGCATTTCCTAGATGATAACTGCTCAAACACTCAGCCAACTAATTCAAACTAGAACTGTAATTTCTATTGAATTAGATCAAAGCCTGATATTAAGTATATACTTTTCAGTTCAAGGCCACCACAGTTAGTTTTATCAAGTATTTTGAAAATGTATGAACTTAATAATTTAACATTAAAAGCATGCGGACATACCTGAATGTCAACTCAAATTATTCTTTCAGATAAAAGATATATAGTACTTACATATACCCTTTATTAAATAAACAAAAACAATCTGACAACTACTTTTCTCCTTTTTAAGCACATTCTATACTTAGAGCAAATATTCCTGACCACAGATAATATCAGAGAAATGTAAACAATATATTTTTCTTTCAAAAGTTAGCCATTACTGGATGCATTAACAAGATACCCTCAGGGAAAATTTCAGCTTTTCTTTAGTGAAACTGTATTTCAAGGTTAAGTTAAAAAAAAAGTTACACCACCGGGACACCTATTGTCCTGTTCTGTAAGATGACATAAGAATATTAATGATATAACAAGAATAAATATGCTCATATAGATATGAGAAAAACAAAACAGCAGACAACTTCCCAGCTATTGACTGTTTTTATTGTCCTTTGAAGAATTCTCTCCCAATCTGTTGAAATGAAAATGATCATCACGTTTTGTAACAGACTTTAATCCCATCTTACCTGGTATCCACATTTCTAAAAAAGCTGCTTATTGCCTCATCATAAATTCCTTTCTAAAAAGAAAACAAATATAGCATTTAAGTTTTGCCTCTTCCCCAATCGAGTCCTTTCAATTTTAATAATCCTACAATGGCTAGTATGTGGCTAAGACAGGAAACAGCAAATTATCACAAAATGCGTAGTCTGATTCTTCCAATCTCCTTCTAGAGGAGAGAAAATATCATGAGACATATAAAGTTCAGCAGGGGGTGCTGAAAAAAGGAGTCTCTATAGGATTGTAGAGCTGGTGCAATAAATGAGCGTTTTCTCCGGATTCTTAGTAATTATTTTGAAAGCTGACTGAGTAAATTACGGAATACAATAACCACGCATGTTATCTGTTTTGCAAAGTACTTTCATATACGCCATATCACCGCTTCTCACACGAACCCTAATAAAGAGAAGACCCCGAGAATTAGGAAAAATGTTAAAACTAAGGTCTCTGGCCAGTGTTCTTCTAGTTTAGTGTGTGTTTGACAGCAACGTATCTTTAATAACCAGTATGTTCTGAAAAGATCCCATACAACTTATATCGGTCAGATAAAAGCTCAGAGTATTTTCTACTTATTTGTTGGAAGACCTCGGTGACAGGCGAGGGCGGCTCCCAGCGGCAGGGCAGGTACCTGGTTCACTGCGGCGTGCTCCCTCAGCGCCAGGTCCCAGAAGCAGCAGCCTATCTGGTTTCCGCACTGGCCGACTGCGGCCAGGGGAAAAGACAGAACATGGACATTAGGCAGGAAACCAGGCCGCTGGATTCCGCGAAGAACAGGTCCCCATCCGGCCCGTGCAACTCACCCTGTACGACCACTGACTGGGTCATGCCGGAGCACCGCCAGCCCAGGGGGCCTCCGCGCCGGCGCCGGCCTTCACACTACCGCTTGCAACGGCGCTCTACAAGGGGGCGGTCGTAAGTAACGCCGCTGCCGCAAATCGCTGCCGTCGCGAAGCACTTCTCTAGGTTGAGGCTGAGGTTTTCCATCAGAAGACCGCGCTGGTGAACTTGCGTCTCACCGTTAACAAAGCCACTGGGCTTCCGGACCGCAGGTCCTCGCTGCCTTGTCAACCAACATCTGTGACCACTGGCAGCTCCGGAGCCCGGGGTAACTGGCGGGTAAGTAGGCTTTGGAGTGCTATTTTAGAATATGTGTCTCTAAACTGGCCATGGGATATCAGAGGTTTAGTTTTCGTTCATAGTCCTAACACCCTGGGCGGTGGGTCAAATTCCGTTTATTCAGATTACTAGGAGCGCTGCGTCAGCATCTCTATCCAGCAAGCCCTTTGTTCTAATAGAAAACGAACAATGTCAGTGAGCACAAAGAAACCCAAGGCAAATAGACATGTCAGGGCACAACCGAAACTAGGTGGTTATACACTTTGACAGAAACGGCTAAGCTAAGTTTAGAGACCCAACCAGTATTTGTTGAACCCGGTATTCTCCCAACATTAACTTTAGGCCCTCTGGAGGATTCAAAAGAAATTAAGACAGAGATCCAGCTCGAAGAAGCTTACAGTCTAATTGAAGACACACACAGACGAAATACTCAAAGAATTGTGACTTAAAATATTGGGTGACGTTGACTATAAGCGCAATAGACTTCAGTGAATGAGGATGTAGACGAGTAAATAGAAGTCTGATAGAAGAGATGGGATTAAAACTAGGCATTTGATGCATGTATAATGTTTAGATGGGTTAGAGGAGGAGAAGATTAAAAAATCAGGCATTTTTGAAAATTGCTAACTCCTTAATATTGTCAAACATTTAAAAATAATGTAAACTTCTATTGATCAAATTATATCAGGTTTTAATTAAGAACACAAGCACTTCTTTAATGAAAGTATATTTTCACAAAAATTCTGAGGAACTACAAAACTCTAAGAAGCCTTCATTTAATAAAAAGTTAAATTATACAGCATATGCTATTAATGCGTGGTAATATGAACTGTAATATTCAATTGATTGGAACACCTAATTCCCCCACCAAGACAAATAATAATACTTGTTATTACATTTCTCTGATAGCTGGTATGTTTGAAGTTTTAGTGGGTTGTTTGTGTTGCTGAGACTTTCCCATATTTACATTTGATGTTATTCACCTTAGTACTTATATCTCTTATGATTAATAGGCAGCTTTTAATGAAGAGATTTTTTGCGATTTCTGGATTTACTCAACTGTTTATTGGTGAGCATGGGGTCAGTGGTAGAGGTGCAGTTAGGCACTTTATGTCTTGATATTGAAAACCCAAAGTCTGGGGCTTCCAAAGTTTTCAAATGTTAGTCTAGTTTGTTGGCAGTGATGTGAATAGGTTTGTATCAGTAAACTATGGTGTCAGGTCACCTGGTATTCTGTCCTCTGCAGGGCTCTACCCCACATGCTGTCCCAGTCATTATTCCCTAGAAGCGATACTTAAGAAAGGAGTTAAATTAAGAAAGTCCTGGCTGGGCACAGTGGTTCATGCCTGTAATGCCATCACTTTGGGAAGCTGAGGCAGGAGGATTGCTTGAGGCCAGGAATTTGAGACTAGCCTGGGCAACATAGCAAGATCCCATCTCTACAAAATAAAAATATATTAATAGCTGAGTGTGCTGGCATGTGCCTGTAGTCTTAGCTACTTGGGAGGCTGAGGTGGGAGGACTGCTTGAGCCCAGGAATTCAAGGCTGCAGTGAGTTATGATTATATCACTATACTTCGGCCTGGGTTACAGAGAGAGACCATGTCTCTAAAATAATAATAACAATAAAAAAGAAGGTCCTAATGAGCTTCATTAATTACTTTAGTCTGGAGAGAATCAGACTAGAGAAATAATTCTGCTTAAGAGACAAGCAAGGTAGAACCTTACATATCAGCCACTCCAAAACCTCAATGTAGCCAAACCCAGGTTAGTCAAGTGGAGATCAGCTGAACTGAAGCAGACTGCTGGAGTCTTAAACGCAAGAAAAAATGTTTTTGGTTGAAGGCAAAACATTTGAGATTTTGAGGTATAGTTGTATTGGAACGTTAGCTGACTAACATACAGAGCAAATAGATTGGACAGAATTTCACATGCTAAAAATGAAAAAGACAAAAAATCATTGAGTATCATACAGACTACTACTATGGAAGGAAAGATGCAAAAGATGGATAAAATACATGACCTTGATTAAAACCTAACCTAAGTGTGGAGGAGGATAGAGAAAAAATTCTTCACATATGCTTTGTGCTGTAGAAGAATTTAATAATAAGAATATGAATGCAATAAAACAGGAACTTAAAGACAAAATGCCAAAATAATATATCAATAATTAAGCTCTATGAGGGTTGAGTAATGCCTGTTTTGTTCACTACTATATCCCTAGTACTTAGAATCTTGCCTACCTATACAGTAGGTAGTAAATAAATATTTGATGAATAAATGAAATAAAATGAAGATAAAAGAACTAAGGAAATTAACTGAAGACCAAAATACCCACCTTAAAGGACTAATGAATAATTTTTAAAAGCATGAAGAAGCAGACTCAAGAGAGAAAAATCAAATTAAGATGCAGAGGAAAGGCTTGAGATAATCACGATACTGAGGCAAAGGACAAAGGATATTAATGTTATTAAAAGATAGTATATGTGAAGGAGACAAAGATGGCTCAACATAAGATTAATACATGTCCCTGAAATAGAAAACAGAGCAAATGGAAGAAGAAATGTACTTAATAATATAAAAAATAATGAAGAAAAATCTTTAAATTAAAAGGGTACATTATGTTTTGTGGGAAAGTTTCTATAAAACTGTCAACATCAAGGGATATATCCTGGTTAGGTTATTCAATTTTCAGAATAAAGAAAGAATTCTTTAGGTACCTGGTCAAGAAACAAATAGGAGGAGTAGGGTGGAGAAAAAACAGACTACTTTAGATTCATCTGTAGCACATTCAGTACTGGAAGACATTGGAAAAAATGCTACAAAGTTCAGAGGGGAAATAAAATGTGTTCAAAGAAAATTATACTTGTATCTCTTTCCAAGTTGTCATTTAAGTATAATTCAAATTTGTGGGTACTCTATCCATTTTTATTCATGTTTGCACACTGCTATTGCTGAGCTCATCTCTGTCTCATATAACTTGACAGAATCAGTAGCAACCAACATGTTATCAACAATTGTTTTCCAACCTCTTCTCCTAGCATTTAAATTCAGTAGGCAAATCTTCTGCTTTCTAGGTTATCACAGAGTTTTCCAAAGATTTTCCCAATAGGTGTGTCACCGAATAACAGATCACTATCCTTTTAGCATCGAACAACAGTTTCCTTGTCAACTGCTGCTTGATCACTTAGGTAGTGACTTAATATTTTCGGTATTATGACAGTGTCTAAGTCTGGACCTACATCTGTATAAATCAGGATAAACTTTGTTATGCTGTGGTAACAACAATAAATGTTTATTTTTTGCACAAGATATAATACATGTCCATTGAGAAATGTCTGGGTGACTATGCTTAGTGTTTATCTCCCCTCTGGCACCCTATCTGATGATCTACAATTATTTTCTCCATTTCTGATTTATTTAATTTTAGATTGATAAATAATAATTATATGTATTTATGGGGTACAATTGATGTTTTTATATATATTGACATTGTGGAATCATGAAATCAAGCTGAATAACATATCCATCATCTTACATACTTATCATTTTTTTTTGGTGAGAACATTTAAAATCTACTTTTTAAAGCAATTTTGAAATATACAATATATTATTATTAACTGTACTTACCATGCTGTGCAATAGATCTCTAAAACTTATTCCTCCTGTCTGACTGAAACTGTACCCTTTGAACAGCTCCTGCTATCTCCCCCACCCCCAGCCCTTGCTCCCCTACTCTCTAGTAACTACCTTTATCCTCTCTATTTTTATGAGTTTGACTTTTTTAGATTGCACATGTAAGTGAGCTCATACAGTATTTGTCTTTCTGTGTCTGGCTTTTATCACTTAGCATAAGGTCTTCCTAGTTCATCCATGTTGTTACAAATGACAGTATTTTCCTCTTTTTAAAGGCTGAATAGTATTCCCTTGTGTTTATATACCATGCTGTGTTTATCTGTTGATGGATACCTAGATTGCTTTCATGTCTTAACTGTTGTGAATAATGCTGCAATGAACGTGGGAATGCAGATATCTTCCAACATACTAATTTCACTTCCTTTGAGTATATACCCAGAAGTGAGATTGCTGGATTATATGGTGATTATATTTTTAGTGGCTTGGGGAACCCCCATACTGTTTTCCATAGTGGCTGTATTAATTTACACTAAAAGTGTGCAGAGTTTTCCTATTCTCTACATCCTTGCCAACACTTGTTATCTTTGATCTTTTTGATAGTAGACATTCTAACAGGGGTGAGGTGATACATCTTATTATGGTTTTAATTTGCATTTACCTAATGATTAGTGACGTTGAGTATTTTTTCATATACCTGTTGGCTATTTGTATGTATATTTTTTTTTTGAGAAATGTCTATTCTTAAAAGGTCCTTTGCCCATTTTTAATTAGTTATTTTTTTTCTTATCAAGTTGTTTGATTTCCTTATATATTTTGGATACTGGCCCCTTGACAGGTATATGGTTTGTAAATTTTTTTTCCTGATCTGTGGGTTGTCTCTTCACTCTGTTAATTGTTTCCTTTGCTAACCAAGAGTTTTTTAGTTTGATATAATCTAGTTTGTCAACTTTTGCTTTTATTACCTGTATTTTTAGGGTTGTATCCAAGAAATCATTGCCCAGAGCAATGTTGTGGAGATTTTCCCTATTTTCTTCTAGTAGTTTTACAGGTTCATGCTCTGTATTTAGGTCTTT